GAGTTGCCGCCATGTGATTGGCTGATTAGAAATTAAGTGTTAACGAGCAGTTGGACAGGTGTACCTAATAAAGTGGCCGGTGAGTGTATATAATATACTATGATTAACAAGCATTAAAAAGTCTTTTATCTTTTCTCGTACCTGTTTTAATCCATGCTGGATCTGATCCTGATGCTTGAAAAATGTTGGCTACATACTGTATCCCACTACACAGTTGTGTGAGGTCAGCTGCTGGGTGGCCACATGCTGCGCCCCAGGCCACCCTATTCTTTTGCATTGGGGACTTACTGTGCATGTCCAAAATCTTACAATGACTTGTCTATGGGAATCTGGGGTGCCGAACAGTTCGTGACCCGGAAGTAACTCAACACGAAAAAGCTCATGAGAAAAATGGAAGTTTACACATCAATAATTCAAAATTATTTATTTTACTTATCAGAAAACATGGATACAATATTTTTTCAAAATGTTTATAACATTTTATTTTGTTATTTTAATTTTTTCGTGTACCAAAAATAGTGGTGGGGCAGCGCCCTAGTGCCCCCTATTGACCAGCCGCCACTGCTGGAGCCCCTCATCTTGATGGTGCTGCTGGTCACTGGGACAGGATGCAGGGATGACACGTTAAAGTGTACAAATGGCAAGGGAACATGTCAGGAGGTTCTGTAAAGCTTGGTACAGCACGACAGTCCTCCCTTGGGGTCTGGTCCGACAACCAGACCCTTCACAACAATTAGGAGTGCCTTTGTTGCCAAAACCATGCAGGGCAGCTGCATCACCCACAACATTACCACTTATCAAACTCTATCAAATTCTTGAAGAGTGTATCAGAATCAGAATCAGAAAGAGCTTTAGTGCCATTGTCAGTGATAAACACAGACTAGGAACTTGCAGTTTAGAACATCCGTTCGGAGAAAGACACACATAACAAACATGGGGGGAACGAATGTCCAAGGTCTTTCGCACTACGGTGCGCTACCTTTTGCAACTTGGAATACACACAATAGGAAGGGTGAGTTAAAAAGAGAGCTCAGATCCTGTGTTTTACGCAGAAACACAGAAACATGCGCTCAAAAAAACCACTCGCGTAGCAAGGCAGTAATTCAGCTTGGGAGGGGGGATTAGGTCAGATAACACATAAAGGGGAGGTAAGATGGGGCGGGTTCAAAGGAGTAGGTGACGATGAGGGAGGGGGGATCTGTGCTAGGCCCAACCCTGGGCCCATCCAGAGTCCAGAGTCACATGATGTAATCGTCTCTGCTCAATTCGCTAGAGTTCAGAGTTTCCTCTTCCTCAGCCATTGGGTTCCGGGGCTGGGTCCAACAGGGGTGATGGGGGTGGGAGTGAATCAAGCTCTTTGTTGCCATTCCATCCTGGGGAGATTGAGATAAACACTGCCATCAAGGCTGTGCTGCTGGGAGCCAAATAGATAATACAATTGTTTTGGAACAAAACAGCCTTGAATTTCCTGCTAATTTTGAAATGTCTTAACTGCAACTCTGAAGTGTTGAAAAAAAACAACAATCAGCCGAATTTGGGGTCTTCCTCACCTCTCACCGTCTGAAGCGTCACCCAGATGTAATCCTTACATATTGGAGGCTTGGGCCTGAGCTGCGATCCTCGTCAGAATCACATCCAGTTTGTGAATTATTTCCCCCAGCTGCAGAGTCTGTGTGCTTCCAGCCCAGCAGAATCCTTCAAGTGCGCCCGACAGCTGCTCAAAGGACCGAACCACTGTCAGCGTCGCTTTCACTTTCCGATAAATCTAGAACCCTCCTCCGCTGATCAGCAGTTATCCAGTTATCAGAAATCCAAATATGTATATATAAATCTCTCACATCTTCAATGGAAAGTGGTGCCGGCATATCAGATTCCAGCCCCAGGAGTCAGACAAGTCCAGCAGCAACCATTCCACCCAGACAGCCACGTTCCCCTCGTTCTAAGTATGGAAAAAATAGTGTCAATTGCATTCAGAGACCAGTTGACCAAATCCATATTTCCTTTAGTTTTGGATGGTAGGTGGAAAAAAAACCTTGAAGAAGCAAGCAAAAGCAGCAAGGGGGGGTGGGGGCGAAAGCACGTCCTGCTCCTCTGAAGCCAAGCAGAAAAAAATATAATGTGTAATGTGTTTAATTGGCATCCTGTGGGGCTGCTTTTGTCTCACTGTCAGGTGCTCTGGCAACTGCCTGATAACATTGCAATTTCTTTGTCGTGCCACCATTTGTGCTGTCTGGTGGAACCATTTACATTATGAACCTATTGCTGGTCTGCATGTGGACCAAAAGGATTTCTTATGGGTGTTTAACTTTCCTTTTGTTTTGTGAGGGTCTTACACTACCCTTTGGTACCATATTGTGAGAAAAACAACAAAAAAAGAGTGCACCTGCAGAAAGTACATTGGGAATCATTTGATGGAGCACTCTGTTAATCCCCACGAGTTATAGAGAGCATTTGATGCACATGAGAAGGAACAGGAAAGAGAAGACAGGAAAAAGATTAGAATTAACCAATAAACTGAGTCACATCGCTCTGCTGCTCCCAGACTAAACTGCAAAAGCTGGGCAGATTATTTCAGCCATTTGAAAGTTCCCGTTTGTTCCCGGCACCAATAGGTCAGAAGGTCAGCTCCACGAGGGTTAGAAGGAGTGCAATGACAGAGAGAGTTTAAACGTGCTATTAGCTCTGGTCTGTTCAGATGACATCTTGTAACGAGGAGTTGGGTATTTGTATCACAACACAATGCACTTATGAGAAGAACATATTTAGGTTGCGCTACAATCATGTTGAAAGGTTTGCCCCTGATCTCCCTGCTTTTACTGAGTAAATGTACAAGATTAAAGGTGGCGCAACGAATTGAGCCAACAGGAGTGGAAGCGAGTTTTTAAGTCAATGCTGAGGAAAACTAACAGAGAGTCAGTGAAAGTAAGAGTCCAACCACTGCTTAAAGGTTCTTGCTAAGTTCTGAATGCTATGGTGGCCGATAGGAGTAATAAAATATAATAAATATAAACAATTCTTTAAGGACACACATCCCCCACCGCTGATGCCAGTTTTGAACTAGGATTGCCCAAGGACACAACAACAGAGACAGCTGGACGGGGGATTGAACTGGCGACCTTCCG